TAATGAAATCAGTCACGTAGCTATCATGAAAAAGTTTTCAGGGGGAAGGAACAGCTAGTTCAAAAGTCTAATGCACTAGATTTTGACCATCTCTTCCAGAAACAAAAGTTCCACAAAATGTTGGCACAGATTCCTTAGCATGGATATTTTGTATGTGTTTAATGTGTGTCCAAGTCCTGTTCTAACATCCTTCTAAAAAATGCCATTTCTTAAGCTTTATTATTAGGGGGGGAAAAAAAACACTGCACATATAGTAGAAGAATAGGTAGTAATAATAGTACTTGCCATTTCCGAGTGTTTACTGCATGTGAAGTGTTTTACATATATTATTTCATTTAATCTTTACAAATCCCTATAAGAAGGGTATCATGGGCCCCATTTTACAGGTCAGAAAACTGAGGTTTGTAGATGTTGGGTATTTAAGTGAGCCATCTCTAAAGAGCAAACCGATTTTTAACTGTAGATGATTTCCTTAAAATGACAGACTATAATACCTAAGCACTTCATGTGAGCATTTCTTAATCACTCTCCCCACAAAGACAGCTTCCTTTACCTGGCAGGGATATGAAAAACACTAGCAATTTTGAGTCAAGTTTTATAAGATGGGAGAAATAATTTCCAAGAAACTTATTAATTGCATTATTGGTAGAACATCAGACCCTAAAGACTAATCTGAAATGACAACTTCTACATCCCTAATTTAGTGAGGCAGGACATAATGCCAACTGGAAAGAAACCTACACAGCAAGATAGTAAATACAGCAGATCTCTTAAGAAGGCCCGCTCTGTCAATAACCACATAGTATAACTTGTGTGAAGGACAGTTCATCTCTATCCCTACAGCTGGTCACTGTTCCAATATCACCTTACAAGAAAAAATGCCACCTACAAAATTTGAGTTCCTAGGGAACTTGTGACGTTAAGTTAATTGCACAGTTTCAATTCAATTTCATTCAGAGGTCAACCCAGCTGTGTGACTATCTGGCTGCCAGCCAAAATATACAACCTTTGCCCACTGTACATGATCTCTTTGCAATAAAGCACGTATTTAAAAAGTAAAAAGTAGAAAACTTTCAGTTGTTGAATAAATTTAACACATGGAAACATACTTACTTGTCCAATTTGAAAAGTCTTCTTTAACTCAAAGTCCCGTCCAGCAAAATCTTCATCCTGGNGAAGCAACGTCCTCCACAACTAGACTGAAGAACAAAACAACAGCAACTTGTCTGTTCCCTTTCCCCCAATTCCCCAGCACTGTTCCCATCCCCACAATTCCCAAATAAAAAAAAAAAATTAAAAAATACCAAAAAAGAAAAAAAAAAGAAAACAAACGATTCACAATACATAGAAATGAGTCTTTCTCCTTCCCATAAAAAATTGAGTACACATCAGAAAAATTAATTAGGTAAACTAAAACATTCTACTAATAGACCTGGAAAATTCTGACAATACAGCAATGACTCATAGAAGCACCGATAAGGAGCAAGTAACCTTTGTTACTAACATGCAAATAGGGGACCTTTGTACATATGACGACTTAGATACAAAAAAATAGTTTCTGTTCGCATGAAAGAAAAATAGTGTTAATGATCAAAAGTGTATGCTCACCTTGTAAAAACTCCTCCTTGCAAGCAATGCAGTAGGAGAAAACAATGCTGACTTTCTTGGCCTGCTTTCTTTAAATCAGCCTTGAACCAAGAATAACTAAAACACTGGACCACAAGTGTTCCAAACAGCATAAAGCCTACTGTTAAAGCACCAAAAACATATTGTCCTTCACGGAAAAACCTGACAGATACCCAGATGTCCACAATTAAATCAGTGACATAGATTATAATGCCAAGAACTGACATCATAAAATTCAATTTAGTATATTTCATTATGAATCACTATAGCTATCTGCTGTCTACTTTCTTCTCTCATACAAAAAGAAAAAAAAATACCAGCAAAAATATTAGTGCATTCTTTAGTATAGCACTAAATTTTAATCTACTCACTAAATCTATTTGGGAGAATAAATATTATGAAATTAGAACACTACAATCAAAATGACTAACTTTAACTTTCTTTTCTAAATCTCAAATGTAGGTCCAGTGTTACAAGGCTTTAGTTACTCTTCAGTTTCACAGTGATCTTCATTACAGGTGACAACACCTAAAACAAAACATATATTATACATGTAAGATTCTAAAACTCTTGAGTATAATATTAAAAAGCCTGAGCCATGACTTTATCAAAGCTCTTTTTTTAAAAATAATAATATATTATCACTAAATATCATTCTTATAATAGCTTTGGAAAAGTAAAGTCTTAGAAATATACTTACTAATTGACAACTTCCTCTCTGCCTGTTTACCTTTTAGAAAACATAACCTACCCACAAAGATATATTTATCACAGGACCATTACAGCAAAAAATTGGACACAATCTGTGTCAACATAAGAGCCTGGTAAAGTAAATAATGGTAGATTCATAAAATGGAATATTACAAAGCTATTAAAAATATATCTACAAAGTTACAATATCTGTGAAAATTCTTAATATCCTCTTGATCCAGGAATTCCATCTAGGAATCAAGTCTAGAGAAATATTCACAAATGCACACATATATATGCTCTTTGCAGAACTTTTTTTTTATAAAAGCAAAAAATCAAAAAGTACCTGAATGACAATTGAAAGGCCCAGTTCAACCAATTATGGTAAATGCATTCTAAAGAATACACCATGCAACCTTTAAAAAGAATGAAGTAGCTTTGTATAACCTGATTTCAAAAGATCTCCAAGACGTAATAAGTGAAAAAAAAATGTCAGAAGGATAAACATAGCATTTATGGTTTTTAATTATATATGGAGAGGGGAAAAGGGTTGGGACTAGAGAGCAAATGCAACATCGATACTTTAAGTATACTTTTATATTGCTTGAGTCTTTTACAGTAGACTTGTACTCATGCATTACATAATTTCTTAAAATAAAAAAAATAGTAAATGATGATTACAAAGAATTTTGATGACTGGAGAAAATGTTTATGCTACTAATGATAGCTAACATTTACTCACACTATGTGCCAGGCATTGAACTAAATGTAACATGTTAAATGTCCCCATTTAATTATTACATCAAACTTGGGAGGTAGATGCTATTATTACGATTTCTATTTTATAAATCTAGGCTGAATGCAATCTACAGATGAGATTTGTCTGACTCAACAGTGGGGTTTTTTTTTTATTTTCCTAATTAATTGCCAACATTTCATTTTTTAAAAATCCAGACTTTTCACTGCTATCAAAACACACACACACACACACACACACACACACACACACACAAAGATCTGCTACACTCGACTACCATTTCTACCTTAGCAGTGGGTGGCCCCCTCGATGGGGCATGCTCTCTCAAGTTCACCACAGTAGCCAGCCACCCAACTCCAGTCATTTCAACAGCTAGGTCTCAATACTAATGTAGCTATCTACTGGCTGTGTGTCCTTAAACATGTTATTTTATCTCTTTGTGTCTTATTTTCTTCATCTGCAATACAGAGATTATAATGGTATACACCTCTTATAGGGTTGTTGTGAAGGTTCAGAAGGGTAATACATATAATACAATACATATCAACTTATAACATAATACATATAAACTTCTAGGAATGTACTTGGCACATAGTCAGGGCTCAGTAAATGTTAGTTACCATCATTATCTTACCTGCCTATCTGATTCCTGTAAGCATCTGAGTTTGCAATCTTTGACTTCACTTTCAATAATATTAAGTGAAAAAGTACTATGGTATGATCTCAAAACTTTGAAAATGCAAAAATAAGTATGACTGGAGACATACAAAAATGTTAACAATGGTTTTATTTGGTGAATTAATGGTGTTACAGATTAATTTTTTCTTCTTCATTCTTTTCTATATGTATGGATAGAATTGTTTCCCTGCAAAATCATGTTAGAATTCTAAACCCCAATGTGACTGTATTTACAGACAGACCTTTAAGGAGGTAGTTATGGTTAAAAAAAAAAAAGTCATAAAGATGGGGCCTTAATCCAATAAGACTGGCGCTCTTATAAGAAAAAGAAACACCAGAGCTCTACTTCCGTCCCCGTGCCCCAACACACACAGAGGAAAGCCATGTGAGGACACAAGAAAACAGCCATCTGAAATGGAAGAGGGGCATCACCATGAACCAACTATACTGCACCTTGATCTTAGCTTTCCAGTCTCCAGAACTACAAGAAAATAAATTTCTGTTGTTGAAGCCCCCAGGTCTGTGGTGGTCTGTTATTGCAGCCCTGGTAGACTAACACCTTTATGTTCTATAAAGAACATTTGTTACTTTAAAAACAAGGAGGAAAAAGTGTTACTAAAAACACAAACTAATACAGTGTTCTTGCCATGTTACCACTCACAAGTATTTTGTTTAAAAGTCTTCAGAATAATTTAAAAGGTTTTTCATTCTTACTACAGAGGGAAAAAAAGTTCATAATCACTANGACACCTAGATAGTGTGGACAGGAGCTCTATCCCGGTACCCTGGCTGACCTGCAAAGTCGCCACAGTGCATTCCTAGCCGCCCAATCCTGAGCTATGCCAATAAGACCAAAAAGGGCACCATAGCACACACACAACAGGCTGCCCAATGTGGACCTTGCTCCAACCACAGACAACCAGATTAACAGGGAAATACCACACCCATGCACACTGGGCCACCCTGCATCCAACATAGGAGCACCTAAACGTATAAAGCAAAAATTAACAGACATAAAGGAAGAAACTGACAGTATTACAATAATAGTAGGGGACTTTAATACCCAATTTATATCAATGGATAGATCATTCAGACAGAAAATCAATAAGGAAACAATAGTCTTAAACATTACATTAGACCAGATTGACTTAATAGATATTTACAGAACATTTCATCCAAAAACTGCAGAATAATAAAAAATAAAAATAAATAAAAATATATAAAATAAAAAATAAAAACAAAACTATGATCTTAGGGGGCCGGCCGAGTGGCTCAGTTGGTTAAAAGCTTGCTCAAGAGTTTGAGCTCTGAGCAACAGGGTCGCAGATTTGATTCCCGGCCCGAGCTGAGCTTCTGCTAAGCTGACAACAGGTGGCAGGATGTCTCAGCTAAAAAAATATATAAAAAAATAAATAAAAACAAAAACTGCAGAATACACTTTCTTTTCAAGTGCACACGAAACATGCTGCAAAACTGATCACATATTAGGCCACAAAACAAATCTCAACATATTCAAGAAGATTAAAATCATATCTAACATTTTTTCCAACCACAACAGTATGAAACTAGATATCAACTACAAGAAGAAAACTGGGTGGGAAAAAAACCAAACACATGGAGATAAAACAACATGCTACTAAACAACCAATGGATCAAAGAGGAAATTAAAAAAAATACCTGGAGACAAATGAAAATGAAAACACAACTTCCCAAAACCTATGGGATGCAGCAAAAGCAGTTCTAAAGAAGGAAGGTCATAGCCATACAAGCCTAACTCAAAAATGAGAACAATATCAAATTAACAACCTATCTTTACATCTAAAAGAATTATAAAAAGAAGAGCAAACAAAATCTAAAGTAAGCAAAATGAAAGAAATAATAAAGGTCCAAGCAGAAGTAAATGAAATAGAGACTAAAAAAATAATAGAAAATATCAATGAACCTAAAAGCTGGTTCTTTGAAAGATAAACAAAATTGACAAACCTTTAGACAGACTAATCAAGAAAAAAGGTAAGAGGACCCAAATAAATGAAATCAAAAATAAAAGAGAAGTTACAACTGACAAAATAGAACTACAAAGTATCGTTAAAGAATACTGCAATTATTCTCAGACTGAGAAGGACCAATACCATATCATTTCACTTATATTTGAATCTAAAGAATAAATGAGCAAACAAAACAGAAATAGACTCAGAGATGTAGGGAAAAAAAGAAATTGATGGTTGCTAGATGGGAAGGGAGAGGAGATGGGGAGGTGAAGGGATTAGAAAGTGCAAATTAGTAGACACAATATAGCCACGGGCATATGAAATACAGTATGGGGCATATAATCAATAATGTTGTAAAGATTATGTAGGGTGCCAGATGGGCACTGGACTTATCA